ATTGGGGTCTTTAACCAGAACATAATGTGTAACCATAGAATTAAAGCAAATATACTATTTTTACAGGAGTGTGAGTAATAATGTAACTGGTACAATAAAATAACATTGACATAACTAACTTATAGCAAAGGAACAGATTGTTAGAGTATGAAAGCCCAGTGCTTATTACAAATAGAATCTCAGACTGGGTAGGTACACACCTCCTTCCTAGTCCTTAGATTCTGTCTTGAACAGAGTGCACTGCATCCTCAGAATCTGGGCACACCAGGGCCTTCCAATCTTTCAAAATATGGGGCCCATAGTTGAACTATCTAAAACACCTTTCAAATTCTCATATAGCATGTTTTTCTACACACCTAATCCGCTTATGCTGACAGATTCTGAGGTTCTCCTAGAATGCCTGTTTTTAGATGTCCTGATGCTCTCATCTTATTAACCAGTACCTCCAGGACATGAGGGAGCTTGTATCCAAATTCCAATAGGAACTGATTTATCAAATAATTATGTAATCTAGTGCATTTGGTCAGTTCCTGAGGCAAGTCTCTCCCAGGAGGTAAATATGCATCAGGTGCTCTTATCGCCCTTGACAACCCCTAAGAAGCTGAATCTGCTGTATCTGAAGCTGTTAAAGTATCTGTGGTCCCATATACCCTAGAAAATATAATAAGACTTCTCTTAGCAAGAGCACTGCCTTTAGTATGGTTCTGCTCCAGCAGGACAACTGGGGGTACCTCTTCCTTCGCAGGGAAGATATCCCAGATCTGCTGCCCTGCATGAAGATGGGCAAATGTCCCAGCCCATCCACTGCAGTTTCCAGGTCAACTAATAGGGTAGATGTTTGTGGCACAGTCTCTATGGGTCTCCCAAATGGAACTGATGATGACTCAAGTCGAACCACCACATCTGAATTTGTGTGGGATAGCGGCAAGGCCCAAACCTAATTGACATTATCAGAGGCCAGCATGTCTCCTTGAGGTGATTGAACTCCAGTAGCAGTTGGAAATCATTCCACAGGTCTCTTGGATAAACACCTACAGGGCAAGGGTTTACTGCCAGAGTCTCATTCTGTTTCTTTACAATAGGATCCTCCTTTTTAAGGCCTTGCAGTCTCTAAACCCGATTTGGATTTTCCATCTGTGCCCCATAGTCAGAAGTCTCCAGACAGCTGGAACAGAAAATGGCAACAGCTACCACAGCAAGCCCAAAGAATAATCTTCAACATGATAAAAAGCAGCCCAGACAAACAGTTAGCAATACTTTCATTAACAAAATCAGCAAACCCAAATACTCCTGCGCTTGGGGATGTACTCAACATTGGCTATAACCACATCACGGATGACCTGGGATGTGCACTCCTTGCTGCCCTCAAAGGACCGGGGAAGTCCAAATGCACAGGATATAAAGAAAAAAACAGACGGCACACCAGCCTAGTGCATTACCTTTAAAAAAAAATTATTAAAACAATAACAAAATAGGTACCTGGCATGCCCTCTTTTTGTTTTCTTTATATTCAGCAATACTTTCATTATACCATAATGGTAGAGAGCTAGGCCCCCTACAGGGTGGAAGCAAAGACACATATCTAGGACAAGGCTTTCCTCTTCCACATGGGGTCTGCCACTGGCTGCCATGATGAAAAGTTGTTGCATATGCTCCTGCAGCTTACCAGTTTCTTTCACCCAGTTAACAGTTTTAAGACATCACAACTCATGACTTGCCAGCCCAATCCAATGGACTCTTTTAATCTTGTTTGTAAACACAAAATTAAATACAGGGAAGACAGGGAAGGTTAACCTTTTCAAGCAATTTACCCCTTGTGGTGTGTATATCACTTATCTTCTGTTCAGGGCAGTTAGAAATTTGTCAGCTGAGCACTAGACATTCTTTTCCTTAAAAAAAAATTATTAAAACAATAACAAAATAGGTACCTGGCATGCCCTCTGTTTGTTTTCTTTATATTGAATCATAGGATGTTCCAGTCCAAGGACCCCACTATGGTTTTACTGTAATATTTTTGCTGGGGCTCCCAAGAACTTCTTGCATCTCTCAGAGTGGAAGAAGTGAAATGACAAAATAAATGCTTTACTGGTACACCTTTACAACATAGCATTCAACATCAGCAGAGGCTGCTGTTTAGGGTTACCAACTGTCCATACATTTACGGACAGTTTGTAAATTTCAGCCGATTTACAAATTGTCTGTAAATGTCCGTTACACACAGCAGCCACCCATAAAAAATATGGCCCTGGGCCGGCTTCGGAACTGAGCATGGACTCTGGAAGAAAACTCTGAGAAGATAACAGAGGTGGTGATGAGAGGAGCCACCCAGAGCACCATGCCTGACTGCCCTGCATGCAAGCCAGCAATGGAGGAGGTCAGTGACAGGCAGCTCCAGCCTCGAGTAGCGACACAAAGTCTGCTGGGGGTGGGGGGGGGGGGGGGGGTCACTGATGTAAGGGGGAATGAGTACACTAAGGTAAGAGGTGAAAAGATATATTCATTCTGAGGAAGGTGGTCTTTTCCTGGCATTCCCCCTTATATCAGAGTCTGCAGGATTCTCCCTTACAGTGCATGGGGGTACTCTGCAAACCCTGATGTAAAGGGGAGCTCTGTGAACTCTGATGTAAGGGAAAACTTTGTAGACTGTGATGTAAAATGGAACTCTGTCGAGTCCGATGTTAAGGCAAGCTCTGTGAACTTAATGTAAGTGGGGGGCTCTGGTAACCAGAGACGCCCTTATATCAGAGCTTCCCTTTACACCAGAGTCTGCAGCATTCCCCTTTACATCAGAGTCCTCAGAGATCTACTTTACATCAGGGTCTGCACAGTTCCCTTTTACAACAGGGTCCTCAGAGTTCTCCCTTGCACTGTAAGGGGGGACCCTGCAGACTCTGATGTAAGGGGGAACTCTGTGATGGGTTATATTAACCTGACCTTCATGTAAATAGAGAAATATATGTTTTGTTTTTGTTGTACTTTAAACACATTGATTATAGCACTAGCTACATGTCTGTAGCTTAAATATTGACATTTGCACTGTTTTGCACTGAAAACAGTCATTTTATTTACATTTTTGAAGTGTCAGCAAAAACTGTGGTTCTCTCAGTAAAATTGTCAGTAAAAAAATGGTGCTGTCAGTAAATGTTTGCTGTTAGCTGTACAGATACATACTTTGCAAGATTCCAAATAACTTCAATAGAGAGACCCACATCCACACAGTGTCCCTGGCTTCTGTTCACATCCATTTCCCAACTAAGGGGGTACAGACCAACTTTCCTACCCCCTTTATTAGGTAGCTGTCAAAATGCTTCCCTGAAGGGGAGCACACAGCCCAGTATATGTTGTCCTGTGAGTAGGCCCTTTGGTGAAAATAATCCCTCTAATGTTCCACTACCTGCAGAAAAGGACCGCAATAACTTCACCCACCCTTACTTATATACCGTGCGCCGAGCAGCATGAGCAGCAGGAAAAGGTTGCCAAACAACCTAGAGGTAGGAGACCCCAACTTAAAGGACCTTACATCCCGTTAGCATGACAGCTACCAATAGTTAGCTTTTAGATTTGAAGAACCTCCAATGTTCATTTCATGTGTTACCTGATAGGTTATAGAGGTAACTCAATGTTCTGTATTTTCATAGGATAGTCTATGAAGTAAATTCAATGCTCTGTTCCCTAATGTAGTACAGGATTGGTTATGAAGTTCTTAATGATAAAATAACCCATAGCAACCATCAGAATGTATCCAAAAGTGTTCTGATAAAGTGAATTCTAATTAGTTCTGCAATTGAGGATTGAGAACTCTTTATTAAATAAGTATCCCCTTCTTCCTCAGATAGTTGTGTAATGTGTATTTCAGTGTTCTATTTTTGTGATCCAGAACCAATAGACAAATCACATACTAAACCTTTACTACTATCGGTATACAGTATACCACCCACTCAAGGGCCACTTTACTGAAAATAATAGAACTGACCTCGTACTACATAATAATACAGACAATCCCCGGGTTACAAACAAGATAGGTCCTGTAGGTTTGTTCAGAAGTTGAATTTGTATGTAAGTTGAAACAGCTACATTTTTTAAGAGTAAGAGTATTTCTACCCAATTTCCTTTAGATTTATCTTCAGCTATGTAGTGCAAGGACCTGCCTAATTTGATACAATTGAAAGTGTTGTTTAGGTTTGACCTCATGCTATGTGGTTTTTGGTAAATCTAAAGCAAAATTCTTAATATAAATCAGATGTTTTCACCTGGGGACTGCCTGTACTAGAAAGAAGGGGAGTTAATGGAGGAGGCTTAAATGAGTCAACTCCATATACCATATGCTATGGTCCACCATAAACAAATATTAACCTAAAACAATCCTCCTCCTCCCAACCAGATAACCAGCTGCATAGGGTTATAAAATTAAACCCTTTTGTGACATGGGAACTTGTTTGTCAGATAAAGCTTAGGCTGGCCATAAATTATACATTTTCTTGAAAATGTAGTTTTAGATTTACCCAAAACCATAAAATATGAGGTCAAACCTAAACAACACTTTCAATTGTATTCAATCAGGCAGGCCCTTGCATTACATAGTTGAAAGTAAATCCAAAGGAAATTGGGCAGAAATTGGACAGAAAATTGTAAGAAAATTATATAGTGTATGGCCAGCCTAACTCCAGCCCAAAAATTATTTTTAAGTTTTGAATAGCATAGGGAAAGGTTAGGTGACCATGCAGTGATGGGGGATTGCTGATAGGTCTGCTGGACAGTAGGTGGCAACATGCAGTGAGCAGCAAGATGGCCACCCGGCGGTTTCCGAGATCAGGGTGAAATCATGCTGCCTCTGTTCTTAAGTTAGGGTTGCCACCTCATCACTTTAACCACCTCCTGCCCGCCATATAGTAATATGATGGGTGCAAGGTGGTTCTCTCATTCTGGGAGGACGTCATATGACGTCCTCCCATTCTCACTGCGCATGCGTGGCTCAGGGAGCGCGCAGCGCGGCGTTCGGCGGTGCGCTGTGTCCCTCGGACACAGCAGATCACCGATCATGGAAAGAGCCAAAGATGTCGGCTCGGTGATGTTATCAGCTGTGTCCAATCACATCTGATCACATGTAAACAGGGAAATGCCGGTTATCGGCATTTCTCCCCTCTTGAGCTGTCCCGCTGACAGCTCGAGAGGACAGGAGAGCCGATAATCGGCTTTCCATGGAGGGGACATGTACACTGATCATCAGGGCACTGATGATCAGTGTGCCCTGATGATCAGTGTAGCCCCAGCGGTGCCACCTGTTAGTGTCCATCAGTGCCTTATGTCAGTGCTCATCAGTGCCTTGTGCCAGTGCCCATCAGTGCCACATATCAGTGCCTACCAGTGCACATCAATGCCACATATCAGTGCCCATCTGAGCTGCCTTTCAGTGTCACCCATCAGTGCCAGTCAGTGCCACCTATCAATGCCAATCAGTGCCACCTATCAGTGCGTCAGTGCCGCCTATCGGTGCCAGTAAGTGCTGCCTATCAGTGCCTGTCAATGCCGCCTAACAGTGCCCATCAGTGCCACCTAACAGTGCCAGTCAGTGCCGCCTATTAGTGCCAGTCAGTGCTGCCTATCAATTCTGCCTATCAGTGCCATATATCAGTGTATCAGTGCTGCCTTTCAGTGCCCTCAGTGATGCCTGTCAATGCCCATCAGTGCCACCTACCAGTGCCTCCTCATCAGTGCCCATCAGTGCCAGCTATCAGTGTCCATCAGTGCAGCCTATCAGTGCCCATCAGTGCAGCCTCATTAGTGCACATCAGTGAAGGAGAAAAATCACTTATTTACAAAATTTTATAACAAAAACTAAGAAAAAACATTTTTGTTTCAAAATTTTCAGTGGCTTTTGGTTTGTTTAAGAAAAAATAAAAAACCCAGAGGTGATTAAATACCACCAAAATAAAGCTCTATCTGTCACAAAAAAAATAATAAAAATTTCATATGGGTACAATGTTGCATGACCGCGCAATTGTCATTCAAAGTGCGACAGCGCTGAAAGCTGGAAATTGGCCTGGGCAGGAAGGGGGTATAAGTGTCAAGTAGGCTAGCGGTTAAACCCGAACACATATTAATTACACAGGTTCTGAGGCTAATTTAATGCAGATAAGGCACTAAGCGAGTTTAATTACCACCTTAATCAGTCACAGAACCTGTGTAATTAATATGTGTTTGGGTTTAAAGTGATGAGGTGGCAACCCTAACTTAAGTATATAAGTCGGATGTTTTCACCTGGGGACTGCCTGTACTAGAAAGAAGGGCAGTTAATGGAGGAGGCTTAAATGAGTCAACTCCATATACCATATGCTATGGTCCACCATAAACAAATATTAACCTAAAACAATCCTCCTCCTCCCAACCAGATAACCAGCTGCATAGGGTTATAAAATTAAACCCTTTTGTGACATGGGAACTTGTTTGTCAGATAAAGCTTAGGCTGGCCATAAATTATACATTTTCTTGAAAATGTAGTTTTAGATTTACCCAAAACCATAAAATATGAGGTCAAACCTAAACAACACTTTCAATTGTATTCAATCAGGCAGGCCCTTGCATTACATAGTTGAAAGTAAATCCAAAGGAAATTGGGCAGAAATTGGACAGAAAATTGTAAGAAAATTATATAGTGTATGGCCAGCCTACACTACAATTTTCTGTTCAATTTCTGCCCAATTTACTTTGGATTTACTTTCAACTATGTAGTGCAAGGGCCTGCCTGATTGAATACAATTGAAAGTGTTGTTTAGGTTTGACCTCATATTTTATGGCCGATAAATGACCCGTCTATGGCCTGCATTAGCGTTAACAGAATTAAAGCGTTTCTAGCATAAAAACAAAATATAATATGTTGTAGCTTTCCTGGTGGCTGCATTCAATTTAAATTTTCAATACTTGTTCTCTTTATTTTTACCTAGTCAGCTTGCCAGTAACATTCTGATTGTCCTAAGGTGACAGCCCTCACAACACAGTGTCTATGGAGGAGAGGTATTGTCACCCTATGTTGCTCTCCTGATTTGGATTATGCCTCCTGCTCTCCTCATCTGCATTACATAGAGGGGAGTTATTTTGTAGATCACAGCAGATAGCTGGGAAAGCTGATAACATTGTTTAAGAGTTTAGTTTAGTGTACAAGAAGCTACAAGTACACTTGGATCCTGGTAAGATGAACAGATATTTTTCTGTACTCGCAGAAAATGTATTTAGCCTAAAAAGAAAACTAATGCAGCCACCTCATCTAAGGATTGGTAAACTGCAATTGATTTAATTTAGTAATTATTTCATTCAATAGTAATATACTGTACATTAAATTCTGCATGTACAGTAAATTCACACTTGAAAGAAGGAAATTGTGTGGGTTATATACACATTGTAAACATCATTTAAAGTTGGTTGTATTTATTTTATAAAAACAAATTTGTGTGCTACTAAGGCTGGCCATACACTATACCATTTTCTGTCCAATTTCTGCCCAATTTCCTTTCCATTTACCTTCAACTATGTAGTGCAAGAGGCTGCCTAATTGGATACAATTGAAAGTGTTGTTAGGTTTGACCTCATATTATATGGTTTTTGGTAAATCTAAAGCAAATGTCTCAAGAAAAGTGTATAATGTATGGCCAGTCTAAGTGTCTACTAAGAAAAAATTATAGATGCAAGTAATCCAGTTACCACAATCACTGTTAGCGTGTTATCATCAAAATGTTGTGGTTTTAGTCACACACAATTGTGATGTATTTATTTTATTATTTGATTGTGCTATCAGAAAAATACAATTGATGCAATTTACTTTTATGTTTTGTGTGTAACCCATCCTGTCTTTAGGTTCATTTTTTGCTGTATGGTAGACTTTGGTGTACTGTGAAATAAACTTTCTTATTTGAACCACTCCCATTACATCCTGTATTTTATTCATGTTTTTCTACTTATGTGACTGAAAAGTGGTTGGAAACAGATAAATGACAACAGTCTCGGGGAAACCTGTTTAGATGAGCAGCAGATCATGAATATGTCATGTAAACTTAGCAATACTTTTCTTAAGGACTTGCACAATCACCTAGTCAAACTATTTTCTATGGATGTGTATTATACATGGCTGCACACAGTCTTCTGGGTTTATGGTAACTAACATTTAAAGTGTTACATGAAAGTCACTGAAAGCGTCAGTCCATTCAGAGTTGAAATTTTGACAACGTTCTGACACTGGCGATCCACTGGCTGAGATCACCCTGCCAGACTTTCTGGCACTTTTGTCTGCCACTATGGAGTGCAACTATACTTAATATTGCAACAAGAAACCCAGAATGCTTAATGTACAAAGCATCCAACATGAAGTGTGAGACCTCCTCATATTGACAATGACATATGGGTGTATCTGCATACTCAGGGGAAGAAACCTTTTTGTGGATGTTCCTGACAGGCAGTGGAAACCAGTATGTTATCCAGCCCAGTGTTTCTCAACCGGTTTTCAGTAAAGGCATTCTTTAACTTTATGCAGTCTTGAGGCACCCCATTCTAAAATGTAAAAAACTGCTAGCTTTACATAATGCAGCAAAATCCACACATACGGGACACCCAACATTACAGCTGAATGATTCTTCTAAAGCAAATACATCTTTGCACGCTGGTACTGACTAGTATTCCAGTGTTTCCCTTCTCCTTCAATTAATGTGACCCTCTTGCTGAGGGAAAAGGGCAGGAGAGGGGCAAACAAGGATGCTGTGCAGGCGGCCGATGCCCTCCTTATCAACCAATGGTATCATTGGTTGTTAGGACACTGGCAGCTAGAAGGTTGTAATGGTGCACAATGAAAACCAATGGGTTTGTTTTAGGCTTAATTCACCTACAGGCTTGTAATCAATTTTTGGGCAATTTGTAGGCATTTTGACAAGGCACCCTGAAGAAACCTGAAGGTACCCCAGGGTACCTGGGCACCATGTTTGAAAAAGGCTGATCTAACCCACTAGCACCTTCATAAAACTAAAATATCAGCCTTGGGTGGAATAACCCATTAAAGTCCTGTTGTCAGAGTGCCCTTTAATGTATGCTATATATTTGATATAAACTCAGGCATGACGTACATTCTCAGTTTGGAAACAGGATGAACAATTTAATGGCTATTTACATTTAAGAGCAGTATACAGTGAAGGTTAAGACTGGAACACTTAGATCTTGGAATGTTCAAAAACTCCAGTTAAAATAGTTAAAAATATAAACTGCATATTTGTGATAAAAAAATAAGACAAATTGTCTGAAATACAGAAAAATGTCACACCAAAAAAATCAATTTCTGCTATCAAATTCTTTCCTACAAGCAGCAGTGTATGTTGTTGGATGAGGGAGGGCATCTCTGAAAACCATTTAGATGTGCTTGCTTGCTTATTGCTTACCCCTGCAAGAGACTGTGGTCTAGGTTTACTCATGTCTGGAGGGATGACATGGATGGTTTACTTGATTTAATCATTAATTTGGGAACTATTTCAACAGGATCACAAGCGTGCCATGGGCCTGAGTTTTGGGATCTCATAGCTCTTAGAATAGACCCATTCCAATATAAGGCTCTCTTCACACCTATGCAGGTGTGACATTGTGCATGTTTTTGTATGTCGTGTTTAGGGAAGCCCATTAATTTCAATAGACTGTGCTACATGCAAAAATCGCAGAAAAGAAGTGCAAGCACCTTTTTTTTTATAAATAGTGTGAACCAAATCATATAGTACTTTGTTACTATGCGTTTTGGTGCATGCTTTAGCATGTAAATTATCAAGGTGGTTTAAGAATTAAGAATCAATGGCACAGCTGCATGCCTTCGAAAGGAATACTTTTTTTTGTGCACTGCGGTAACGCTGGTGATTTTGCATGCATTCTCACATTGCACAAATGTGAACCTATCCTAACCAATGTTTTGTTTGAATTCCTAATCTCTGCAGTTGGCTTTTATAAACAATGCATCACAGAGATAAGCTACCTGTTTGCTTCAACACCTTCTGTGCCAAGGGCCATAACTGATGATTTCTGTGATGCTCTGATGTAATCACTGGAGAAACATATCTCACTCTACTTCATAGAAGGCAACCTTTGAATAAGCATATACGCTCACCGACCACATTATTAGGTACAGCTTGTTAGTACGCGGTTGGACCCCCTTCAGAACTGCCTTAATTCTTCATGGCATAGATCATAGATTAAGCAAGGTGTTGGAAACATTCTTCAGAGATTTTGGTCCATATTGACATGAGTTACTGTTGCCTTTCTATCATCTCCAACCAGTCTGCCCATTCTCCTCTGACATCAACAAGGCATTTTCGTCCACACAATTGCCCCTTACTGGATATTTTATCTTTTTCAGACCATTCTCTGAAAACACTAGAGACGGTTGTCCCAGTAAAAAAAAAATCCCTCTCAGACCAGCCCGTCTGGCACTAACAACCTTGCTACATTCAAAGTCTCTTAAATACCTTTTCTTCCCCATTCTGATGCTCGATTTGAACTTCAGCAAGTCGTCTTCACCACACCTAGATGCCTAAAAGCACTGAGTTGC